AGTTTTGCTTCTTGGATTTGCCTGAATAGTTTTTAATATGAAGATGAAACAATACGTTTACCCAAAAGTGCACTCATTTGTGCTGTTAGGTAGTTGCTCTGGCCATCAGGAATAGCTGTGGCTTGGGAGAAAATGCTTTCTCTGTTATACCAGTACACCGCTGTTGTGTATAACTAGTGATGTGAAAACTCACCTCCTTTGCTATTCAAAAGAATAACCATGCTCCTTACCTGAAGGAACTGTGTGGAAAATGAGCTTTGGCATAGACTTAGGCATAAAGATACTTTAACCTTACAGTAATACAGCTTGTTTATGCCATTAAAATAGTTTAGAAAGGCTGTTGAGAGAAGGCAGAAAGTACGAAGAAATGTACTGTATTGAAAAAGAGAAACCTAAAGGACCTTATGTGTTGGTACCTGTTTGTTTCTTTCTTTGCTATAAAGGCAACTCTCTAAACATGAGGCAGCACATACTTTTCTACTTTGGTGTGCTTTCTGCATTCAGAATCCATTGTTTTGAGCTGCATACAGCTAACATTGTTTTCTGTGGATGCTTGCTTTCTTCTTTAAAAATAATTAATCCAAAATTTAATTAAAAAAATCACTTTCCCAAACACAGTATTTCTTCATATTCTCATTTGCTGTATTTAGACTAATTTGTCTTGACATTGCAGCTGTGCTGCTCTTTGTGTTTCACAATCTTTGGAGTTTTGTTTCATTAAGAATGGAACTAAAGAATTTGGGGAAGGGGAGGGAAGAAGTGCTAGACTGTTAGAAGTTAATTTGCCGTAAACCAAAATGTTGAGAACAGATTACGAAAGCTATGAAGTGACATGTAAATGCTTGTTCAGTTTCACACTTGTGAGAAATAAGTCATTTAAGCTGTGTGCACATGAAATAGAAGTTTGGTTACAGCTACTGGGAATAGTTTGGTCTTACTGGTATATTCAAAAGCATAGAGGAACATGCTCACAAGATTAGAAATTGATCTCTAGGTTCCAAAAAACTTAAAGGCTGAGCTAGTTTGAAAAATTAGCTCTACTCTGTTCACAACAGCTGTATACATTCTGTCTCTCCTACCTAGTTTCTATCTATCTAAAGTATACTGCAGGTTAGAAAATTCATTTTCCCACTATGCTTTTGGGGTTTGCTTTTTGATTTTGGCTTTTGTTGGGATTTTTTTCCCCTTAAAAAAAGAAAAAGGTAATTTTGGATGAAGAAGATGCTTAACTTGCATTTTTCAATGTTGAACACTTGCATAACTTCCCTGACTGTTCGCCCTGATGCATCACAATTCCTTTCATCCTCTATATTCTACTTACTGTTTTCTCCTCAGTGTTGAGAACTGTGGTGTGTTTGTCATGAATAAATGACCCAGCTCTGACTTTAAATACTTCTGTGTTTTGGTTAAATGTCTTCCTGTGCAGCTGTGAGAGGTAAAACTGAAGCTTTGAGGATCAAACCAGAAGGCAGATAGTTCAATTAAACCACTTGACTTGATTTGAATTATTTTGGGGACCTGGTTCATGACCTCTAATGCCATGGACAAAACCCATCTTTTGCTTGGTGTCTTCTAATTTTTTTTTTTAATGGAGGATTAGCATGTCCATGCATCACCTCAGAAGACTAATGTGGTCTGTGTACCTGTTCAGACAAACTCCAGATGGGAAGGCCACCCAGGAGGCATCTTGCCTGAAACCAGTCAAACTCTTAACTAGTTTGTCAGCAGCACAACAAGCACACAGAAGACTTCAGGTCTGGTAGGCAGATGTAGTTGAAGCTGAAAGAAACTAGAAACAAGAAACTAGGTTGATCTGGTTTATGTAATGGGTAGAAAAACTGGGAATCAGAGTATGGAGGAAGTTGCTTTGATCAAGGACGTGTGTGGTGCCAGAAGCTCAGTAAGAACACTGATTTATTTAGGGATTGCTTATACTACGAAAGAATAACTTCACTTTGGGATTGTTTTTCCCAGCGAGAGGAGGCTGGGAGGAGCAGTGGGCAAGCATTTACTCTGAGCCTGGAAATGCATCCCCCGGTAGGGTGTGTCTGCCTCTGACAGTGCTTGTTTTCAAGTGCTGACTCCCAGCTGCTGCAGATGGCTGGAGAATGGCAGCAATCGAGATGGCTTTCTCTAACATCCATTTACTGGAGATGCTGATAGTGGACTGCTAAGTTTTCTACGTATGATAGTTATACTATCTTTATAGACTCCCTCAACTTCAGATTTTAAGTGGATTTTTGGGATAATATGTCATGACAAAGTATAGGGCTTGATCTGAACAGGCTGTCTCAGAACACTGAGGTCCGATGCAAAGATTTCCATGCATTTCTAATTGTCTTTAAAGCAGAGGAATTGTGGGTTTTTTCCAATTGAGCCATAAATGGCTTTTAAGTGGTGACTTAGGGGAAGTGGCTCTAGTTCTGCTGCTGGGAGTTGTTCAAGTCTGCACTTGAGATGCTGAAGACGTCACCCAAAAGTGTCCTCAACAAGCTGTATTTTTCATGTACCAATTTCATCTGGTTGAAAATGGATTACTCTAGCCACAAGCTCTGAAAACTCAATTTTTATAACCTTTATGCTTTGACATAGTATAGCATAGTTGAATGGGCTTTCTGAAATTTACTAGTCTGGTTATTTTGCATATTTATATATATATATACATATATGACTTTGGAAATTCTCTTCCTCAGCCAAGCTAAACATAGACACTTAAAGACACATAGTTCACCATATTAAAAACAACAGAAAAAAAAGGAGAAGAAAAAGCAGCGCCATAGCAAAGATAATTGGTGCACTTGTCTGTTCATCTCTTGGAAGACAATACTGACTCATGCCTTGAAAGCAGTAGAAAAAAAATCTGTCACTACTTCTTTCCCTTCTTTCTCTACCCCAAGACAAGCTTCAAGGCCCCTTTTCTGTAGTTGCTGTGGTTTGCAGCCAGAGCTTCAGTCTGCATTATCAAGCTTTCTGGCAATGTGAGGTGGCAATCAGTCATTCCAATGTGATGTGGACAGATAGCTGAGACATAAGTGGAAAGTGCTGATGAAGCTGACAAATGTTGGGGAGTGGAGTAAATGGTTTAGCAGGACTGAGCTGGGAGCGTGGATGTGGTGCAAGGATAGCACAGAGGATCAGGGCTGGCATACACACTGTTGGTGTTGCAGTGTGCAAGGCAGGCTGCAAAGAAAGAGCGCTCTGTAAAACTTCAGTGCTGTCCAAGCGAAGCCTCTTTTTCGGGTGGCCATGCCCGATGATGACTCGGCTTTGTTGCCATGCAACATGGGAAGAGAGGCTGAAACTTTGTGTGCCTGGCACAGATTAGTTTAACAGCAAACTGAATTCTTGTCAGAGGCTCTATGTAAGAGGTTTAGAGATCCCTGCCATGAGGAAAGAAACAAACACAAGGCAGCTTGCTCTCAGATTATTTTTTTATAATTAGCTTTGTTATGTAATTATGACAGAATCTAGGAGTTGTATGAATCAACAGTAGAAAAGGCAAGGAGTCAGGAGGTCTGTTAATCTTCTATCATCTGCCGGCTGTCCAGTGAAAACACTCTTTTGTGTGGTGTTAGGAGGTCTGGATTAGTCATTTAACACCTGCAGGCAAAAATGTTGTACAAGAACATGTGAAAATCATTAGAGCAAAACTGTCCTGACGTCTGTGATTGGAAAATGCAGACAGCATAAGAATGGAATTAGATGGATTCAGCTGTAGTTTGCATGTCTTTTTAAGAATGCAGCTGACAAGGCTCAGACCAACAATTAAGCAAGTAGGAAATACTTAAGGGGCATTTGCATTCTCTGAGTTTGTATAAAAATTACATGGGAAGAGTTGGTTTTTGGGAGTATAAAGCATTCATGGTATTGAGTGAGTTGGAATAAATTAGTAGCTCTGTCACTAATAGATTAACATATTAACTAGGCATGTTTGTGATTAAAAAGCATTGTCTGAAGTTCTTGGGCAATTTAGAAGTGATCTTGTATAGTACACTGACACCCTAAAAGCTGAAGTACATCATAACTACACTTACCATTTTACTGCTTCATTGATTTTTGTTGTAAATATGGTGCCCTGCTTAATAATTATTTTTAATGGGGAAGTGTTGAGTCAGCTTCAGAAAAGAGATGACAAAGATAGGTATTTTGGTAGGGGTGATCTTCCAGCAAGTACCTTCAATGTGTGTTGCTTAAAACTTAATTTTTTTAAGGGGTTAACTCTGACTCAGGTTTTTAAACAGAAACAAACTTTGTTATAACCAAAGTATAAAAATTGGAGGTTAAAATTAAAGTTTCATCTTGAGACTTGCTTTGAGTTTATTTCATTTTTAAACTTTTAAGGAATTAGTAACACAAATGTATATCTTTTTAGCTATAGCAGTGCTATAGATATTAATAAAGATGCGAAGTAATTTAAACTAGCAGATATTGGCTCTATTGTAGGTAAAAAGTAACAACAGCAAAAACTCCACCTGTAGTGTTTCTTTTAATATAAAGGTCCTAAGGCAGTAAGTTACTTGGATAAAATTAGCAATATCTAACTTAAAAAACATTGTCAATAATTAGAACTGATAATTGGTACTGGTCTCAACAGAGATGTGCTGGATGGTGTAATTAAACACTTTGCATTTCATTTTCTGTCTTTTAAAAAATGTGGCTTCCATTTTAAGGTCAAATTATCTCCTTCTGATAACTAGTCTCTTCTAGTAAAATAAACACGTCTGAGCTCAGTTGATCCTTTAACCTTAGGATTTCTGCAGATATAATCCTTGCTGCCTTGCTATCTGGATTCACAAACAAGCTGTAGGTTTTCTGTTAGCATTTTTGACAAACTCAAGTTCAAAACCTGTAAAATGATTGTATTTCTATATTCTTGATGGTAAACTGAGAGTTTCTGAGAACTCATTGCTAGTGTAACTTGTTCATGAAGTGGGTTTTTTTTCCTTATGTTGCTTATGTTGCTTATGTGTACTTTGTTTTTTGTTGTTTTCTTTTTGTAGACCACTAAAGCATTCCTTCCCAAGATGCTGGAAATGAACCATGGACACATTGTGACAGTTGCAAGTTCCTTGGGGCTATTCAGTACTGCTGGAGTGGAGGTTTGTTAGACTATAATGAACAAAAAGTTTGGCACTTTTTGCCAAAGATATTTAAATATTATCAGCTAGAGGAAGTAAGGTCAAATCTTCAAAGATATTTGGAGATTATGGTGCTGAGTACCATATCAACACATGGCTCCCTGTGAGTGGGAGCCACAGGACTTGGGCAGGCATTGCATTCATTTACTTGGATGGTGGAGTTGGTCCTGAGAGCAAAATCCTAGGATGGCTGGGGCTTTCAGAATGCCAGGTTATCTTTGAATTACCTGATGAATTTAGGAGCTTGAAAGGAACCATTTAGCCTATTCCTGTCAAGATATGCAGTGCTAAGCTTGAAGCCAAAGGCAAGGGCTTTCAAAAGTAACTTTTCTTGTTTCTGTGGGGAAATGACTGCAAAAGTTCTAGAATGTATGGCTCACCTGCTTCACTAGCAGGTGTTTGAAAACTCCAGTTTGTGAGACTTGTCTGGTGCATAAAAATAAGTTAGGACTACAGCTTGTCATTTTTTAAAGTCATTAGTACAAATGCAAGTGTGAACAAAAAGCATTCAGTTAGTGAAAATTAATTAAGGTGTCTAAAATAATAATAGTCTTATTACCCCATAAGTGTAGGCTTCTTTGCAAACAGGTAAGGCTCAATCCAGGACCTTAAACTGCAGTGTTTCATAACCTAAATGAAGGAAGATGGTGTAACTTTGGGCTTTTTAGAGTGTTTACTGTCTTGAGAAAGTTACAAGGAATTTCCTAAACTGGGTGTGACCACCAACAGAGATGGACACATCCAACTGAAAACACACTAAGTTCAGCAACAATAAAAAGTTATTGCATAGACAGCAGTAGTGGTTTTGTGCATCTCATAGAAAAACTCAAATCTTGGTTGCATCTTCTGTTGAAACTAACCTTAAAAGTAACACTTTTAAGATTTTTACACCTATGCCCTGCCAACTCTTCAAGCTTTTTCAAATCTGGCCCAAGGTAGTATTAGGTATCTCAGTCCTTTGTTGCAGCATTTATTATTAAGCAAACTGGTAATTGGAGTAACTTGTCATGTGAGCCTGCCTGATTCAAAGACTTGAATCCAAGGTAATATCCTCCTACATTCAGCTTTCCTGCTTTCATGATTCTGTGCTAATTACCTCAAAAGTAAAGTGATAAATGAGTTGATGTGGTGCTCTATTCAGTGGGTGTCTTTTTGTAGTTGCTTTCAAAATCTGTGCAGAATCACCTCAGGTATGCTGGCTTTGAACATCATTCATATTTGTTCCTTTTTTTTCCTCTGCTTCATTCCTTGCCAACACAGGATTATTGTGCCAGCAAATTTGGAGCTGTAGGCTTCCATGAGTCTTTGAGCCATGAATTGAAGGCTGCTGAAAAGGATGGAATTAAAACTACTTTAGTCTGCCCTTATCTTGTAGATACAGGAATGTTTAGAGGGTGCAGGATCAGGTGAGTAGAATTCTCCTTCTGCTCTGTGCTTGTAGTGCCAAAAAGTATTAAAAGATACTTTAAAAGTATTTAAAGATAACTCAAGTGGTACCATAAAAATATTAAATATTACATCTGCTTTAGTGTATGTTAGTGTTAGACTCAAAAAGAGACTTTCTGAATTCACTGTCTTCTGTCCTTTTGTACACAGACAATGCAAGTTTTGAGCTATAGTCTTTGTAACTTAACAGTGAATATAAACAAGTTCCAATAAATTGAGTTAATGAACTGTTCACTGGGGTCTATGGTCCTTTGGGTATCATATTAATCTGTCCTAATCAAATGTTCCAGAAAAGAAATTGAGCCTTTCCTTCCACCCTTGAAACCCGAGTACTGTGTGAAACAGGCTATGAGAGCCATCCTTACAGACCAGCCAATGATCTGCACACCTCGCCTCATGTACATGGTCACCTTCATGAAAAGGTAAGAACTGAAGTGCCAGTTATTTGGCAATGCAATCACAAAATTCCTGAGCATGTCCAGTTTCATGATACAAACACCCTCCCACCCACACAAGCCATAGGTGCCATTTTGCTAGAATTCATAAGTCTCTGTTGGCTTGCAAGCTTGTAGGTTGCTTGCTTGGGAAGCTTCATTTAACCAAGGCCCTGTGTATCTATGCATCTTTGTTTTAACCGTCTTGCATCTTCCATCCTCCTTGGATTCCTATTTTCTTTTTAACAGACTATTAATTCCACTGTTTGAGTTCCTCTTTAGGAATGGGGCATAAGGCAGCTCTCAGCAGAGGAATGTCTAGCTGCTTGTTTCTAGAACAAGTGTGTGAGGAGGCCCTTCCTACCTGCAGGTTCTTCAGAACTTGCACAGATATAGTAGATAAACTGAAAATTGGTACTTTCAGAACTAATTTTCAGAGTCTTAAGTTTGGCAAAAGGTCTATTTAAAGGAATTACTTCTTTCATTCTAACACACTGCAGTTTTAGAATGAAAACTGTTTTAATCTGTAACCAGGCTAACATTTCAGTGATGCCAGACAATGCAGGAGCTGCTTCAATTCCTGTGATATAACATCACTTGAATTCTAGTTTATGGAGAACAGCTTCACAGGCATCTGTGTTTTGTTTTAAATCTGTAGTGTGTGGGAGGAACATATAAAATATAGTATTGTATTATTTTATTTCTGCAAGTGATGATTGAAACTGAGCACCTTGGTGTTTTTTATTCCACTTACAAGGTGGTTATTCTCCTCTGGCTCTAGTGTCTCTTGGTGGACAGAGTCACCAAAAAATAGAGGTATATTGACTGCTCATCTCTTTCCTGGAAGAGAGATGTATGTGTCTATTGTGACACCAAATGAAGGCCACTGTCAGTATATTTAAGAACTAACTCCTTCACCCAGAAGCTCAGAGGGTGCTTCAGTGCTTCCTGCACAGGCGATGCCTTACAGCAGCAGCAGCCACATCAAAAGCCCTTGGTTCAACACTTCAGCTTCCAACAGGGAGATCAAAGCTTCTGCATAATCTGTGCCCCAGGCAGCAGCCTTTAGATCAAAGGCCCTCCAGTCACTGCACAAGCAGTGCTGCTGGCACTGGAGACACCTGTACCAGTGACATCTACTTCTTGGTGCTTCAGTGGTCATCACTCCTAATGGCTGGAACTGTACTGCTTGCCACTGAACAAGTGCCTGCTGCTATTCCCAGGGCCTGAGGAATCCCATTTTATTCTTTCACTAGAGCCCCTGAGTATTACACTTGAAATAAAAACAATATTTTGTTCATGTGGGAACAAGGGGAGGATCTGTAGCCAGGTATCCATCGCATAATGACCTCTTGGAATTTTATCTGGAGGGGGGGAAGGAAATTGCTCTTTACTTTGGACCTTTCTTCTTGAGGATGGATGATTGAGTTTAGAATATAAATCAAGGTTGTTAGACATCTGGTGATCAAAGAATGGCATTAACTAACACTAATCCCACATTAAAGAATATCTTCGATGTCTGATGACCTCTGCTGATGTGGCTTTTAGCAGATGCCTTGCTTTTACCAGGCCTTCTGTAATGCCCTTGCCCCCCTATCCCCCCTGCCCCCGTTCTTTAAAACAAGCTATCACACTTGTGAAGAAACAGAAAATCTGGTCTAAGATGGAAGCATGTGAATAAACAGCTTCTTTCTCCTTTCTACTTGCCTGTATGATTGGGACTCTAGAATTTTAGTTCTCTCTGAAAGTATCCCTGTGAAATAAAAATCCCTTAAGTCTTTTAAGAAGAATTTCCAATAGGTATTACATTGTTTTTAGGGAGACCAAGTACATAGTTCGTGTAAACACATGTACTTAAAAGTGTGGTTTTAAGTACATGCAGAGTACATACATACAAAAAGCAGAGGTTTTGTCTCATGCTGTCTTCTAACAAATCTATAACCTCTTTTTTCCAGTATTCTGCCATTTGAAGCTGTGGTATGCATGTATCGATTTTTGGGAGCAGACAAGTGTATGTATCCTTTCATCGCTCAACGGAAACAGGCTACAAACAACAATGAAGCAAAAAATGGAATCTAACACTTTTGGATGGACTAACATTTATAGGTGAATGCAATAATGTTACATGACTGAATTGCAAAGTGCACTTGCATCTAACAGATGCAAATGTCAACATCTTACTGTGGCATTCTCTTGGGTCCTAAACCTGTGTATTGAACTCTAAAAATCAATGGATTTTTATATACTGTAAATAAAACTGACTAGAGTACTTGGGAAATGTGATAGGTAACTCAAATGAATTTACAATGTAGCTGCCACCATTGTCCTTTAGAATATCACTGTATGTACAGTAAACTAGTCATACTACTTGTTGTAGGGATGCACTGTGTGATATCTCCTCCTTAGTCTGCTAAGGCTTCTAAGAGCTGTCTCCAGCCAGAAGATGGAATGCTTCAGAAGTGGTTTGACTTTCCTTACGTTACTTAGGAAGGGAGGGAAGTTTTGCAATTTAAGCTACTGCTCATGATCTTATAGCAAATTCAAGGACAATTTCTGAATGCATCTCTTCACTCGTTCACCCACGTTCTCTAAAGGACACATGGCCAAATTGTGGTGTAATTCTCTTTTGTTGCAACTGTGTGTGTTCTATTTAAACAAAGATGAAAAGAAATTTGTAAATCTCTGCCGATTCAAAGGCAAATGAATGTCTTACATACTGTCAAAGCAAACTTGTACTGGGCGTCTGGTTTTTTTTAGGAATGCAGTCAGTGATTTCATTTGACTTTTTTTCCAAGTTGACTTAATTTGAAATATGCTGTGTTCCATTTCCCTCTATATGTCAGAGTCCAATTTACTATTATGGACTACATGTTTCGTTTCTTCTTCCTCATTCTTACTTCTGACGGAGTTCCCCCACCCCCCCAAGGAAACTGTTGTGTTGAATTCTCTAACTGGACTTGTGCCTAAAAGACAAAGCAACTCAGCTGAAATACAAACTGTTTATGTAAGTGCTGGTCATATGCCAATTATTAGCAAAGGAAAAATAGAATAATGCCTGATGCAACTCTACATTCAGAATATGAAAGGATGTAAAGATTTTTTTTGAGTTGTACTCACGTTGTAGAACAGCAAATGACATTTTTACAGTATTTTTTGTAAAGCGAACAATTTTGTGCCTTGAATTTGGTAATCTGTATTAGTGAAGCATTGTAAAAGTGAAATTCTACCTCTGTATCTTAATGTATACCATCCACTTGTAAACTACTATCAGAAAAATTGTGATTACTTTTTTTAGAATGTCTTGTCAAATAGTGACCAATGCCTGTGGTTATTAAAGTGAGCCACTTTTTCCTTAAAACAGTGATTGGAATGTTTCCTTTAAAGATTGAACTAACACAAACTACTTGTTCCACAACCCTTTGGTGTCAACACAGATCAAATATTTATGGTTCAACTCCTGTATCCACTTTGTCAGCTACATGGTTTACAGTGTAATCTTCTGAAGGCTATCAGTAGGTACTTTGAAATTGAGCTTCTGACAATTTTGTCTTCCAAACTCACTGATGAAGTAGGTGGTTCAAGAGGTTATGAAGAGTATTAATTTTGGTGTTCTATAGAGCTGCTTTCAGGTCTTGAAAAAATGATCTGGTGTGGATGCAGTTTCAGTGAGTTGAAAAGTAAATGTAGTTTCAGTACAGCTGTAGCTATTACTGTAGTTATATACATAGCACACATATAAAATAAAAAAAATTGGTATCTGTGTCAAGAACAGTGTTGTTAACTAACTCTATTTAGAAACTAATTGAAAGTAGAAGAAAATGTTTACATTAACCCTTACTCCAAATTCCATGCTCTTTTTCAAAAGTCATTAGAAGATTTCCCCAGGGCCAAATTACCTCCCATGTTCTTACAGCAAAGTCACTAAAAGCAAGTACAACAAATTTATTCTATTGCATAGCATCATTGTATTGCGCTTTTGTTTTCTAAAACGTCTCAATCTCTGCTGGTCTGTCAGACTAAGAAGCAACTTTTAAAGTCTGATGTATTGATACTTGACACTAACTAGCCTGACAGAAAAGGAAAAATAAGAAGCTGACCACCAATACCAAGGTGTTCTATAAAGCATTCTGCCAATTTACATTGTTTACTTAAAAAGCAAGTTTCAAGGCTTGCAGAGTTTTACTTTATTATTGGATGTATGATCATCCTGGTTTCTCTAAATTTGCTACCTTTTCTCTCAGTTCTTCAGCTGTGTGGCTGGGGGGTGGCTTGTGGCTGTTGCTTTCTGTGAGCGTGTTTCTAAAACTCATTCTCTTAACTTTTCATCTTCTATTCAAATGTCAGCGATACACATAGAGAAAGGGAATACCAGATGCCTTGTAGATCTAGTGAGAGTTGCTTGGGGGGAGAATCTTTGAGTCTCTGTAGTGCTTGTCTTGCAGAGTGGGAGACTGAGCCTAAATTTAAATTCAAGCCTCCAAAAGAATTCAGCTTGTTAGTTTTTCTGATACACATGAGCTATTTTGGAAATAATTCCAAAACTCCCGTCACCTCTAGTCGTACCTTAAAAAAAATCATGTAAAGAAGTCAAGCTCAGCTCTCCATGAAGGTTTTCTGTTGACTGGGTATCACTTCCCCGTTGAATGGGTGATTCCTACAGAGCAGGAAGAGATTTGTGACAGGATGGAGTGGAAACTGGGGTATCCCTTGTTTATATTGCCCTAAATTGCTGCAAATACCATGTGATGGTGAGAGCTTCCTTTAGCACTGCAATCAGAAACTATGAAAATTATGTCTCTTCTGGGCTGTGACTGATAGACTGTGCTAATTCACATAAAGCCAGCCTAGTTTAAGTAAAAGTTCTAATTTAATACTTTAGACTAGTAGCTTAATATAGGGACTTTTTCCTTCATTCTGTAAGACAATGCCATGAAAGATTACTGTTAAACCCAGATGAGCTGACGTGGGTGCACCTCTTGGTATTTTTTGTCTTGCTGTAACAACCTGATGAGATAGCACTACTAAGATAGGAGCTTTCTGAGAAAGCTCTCATGAGGTGCCTAAGCTTATAGCTGTGTAAACAAGGTGTTTCAAGATCATTCTGTAGCAGTCTGCTTCCCAGTGAGCAGGACAGTTTGCATCACTGGTTCATCTATAGGAGGCTTCTAGGGCTTTTCCTTTATTTCCTAGTCTTTAAAAAGAATCTAGGGTTGCCAGGTCTCTGAATTTGGTGTACCCACTCAGCCATTGTAATGACATAGACAAGTTTAGTATCCTTGGTTTTGGTGTCAGTTGTTTCCTGTATCATGTGCTCATAGGTTATTTTATGTATTAATGTAGTTGCAGCTTGGGGCACCTAAGCTGGATGCCCACTGTAGTATGAATTTTCTTCTTCCCCCCCATTAGGCCTGGTATTTAGAGTTGGTAACACACAATATATATATGTTTACCTTACCTCATAAGGACTTGTGCAGAGGGTCTGAGTGAGGTGAGCTAATCAGGAACTATACCCTTTAGCTTCATAATGAATAAGTAATTCAGCAGCAACCATTATTCTTAACATTCAAACGCCACCATAATCTGTCCTAACTTTTGTGTATAAACAAACCCTTATGAGTCTTATCTTCAAGAGCAACTTAGGAAAATTCAGAGGGATCAGAGCTGTGTAGTGAATGCACATAAAGGAGTAAGTTATGGGCCACTATGGTTCTGAAAGTGTGCGCCTGCTCAAGAATTGGATGCATATAAAGTCATTAACCTAACCTCTGAATTTGATTCCTAATTTTTTGTGTGTCTCTGGGTAGATAAGTCCTCTGTTCAACAAAAAGGGATAATCATAATGCAAAACAAATGGTAGTTGAGTAAGTATTTACCCTCAGGAGTTTGTTTCTTTCCATTAAAACCCAGTACAGACACTTTGGGACTCTGCTCAGCTTTCCATTGCAGCCAAATTCATAGTCCACAAACAGGAAATAAAACTATCACAGAGATGAGGTCTTCTAACAGTCCCTGAAACAGTAGATCAGGCAGAATCATTGATGAGGGCACCTATTTAAGTGTTACTTTATTCTGAGGCCCTAAGCCTAAATTTCAGATGTTATGTCATGCAGCTTGCAAAAAAAGGCTGGAGAGTCTAGGGACACTACCCAACAAAGTTAGAAATGCAGTTACAGAAACCCCAGCCCCCTGGTATTCTAATTAGCCTGCCATGGTTTTTCCCTCACCATTAAATGCTGATGTATATAATGACAGAAAGTGTGGCTTTATAATGGCTTCAGTGAAATGAAGAAATTCATAGTAACTTTATTTAAACATAGCTTAAGTAGACAACCCAAATATTTAAAATAACTTTAGAAATAACATTCCAGCTACATACTTATCTATCTGCTTAGTGCTGACAATACACAAACAATTAATTTCTTCCACAATTTCTTTTTTTGAGCTAAATGATGAATGTTCAGAAGTCAGGATCAAGTGTTTGTGTGTGTTCATACCTAAGTTAAATTGGCTTGGTTCCCTCTTCTTAAGGGATGTTTGGTTCCCTCTTCTTAAGCAGGCTAATTGTACCACTTAGTTAAGGAGCCACAATGTATTTGGAAAAAAATCAAACCTTTAAACACATCCCTGTCTGTAGGCTGACCAAACTGCCTTTAAAATGTTATCTATTCTGATTGAAAAATTTTGGCAAACAATATGCCTGGGCCAGTGCTTATGGCACTGGAATGACTGGAGCTTTTCTCTCCTAATCCAATTATCATTAAAAGCTGCTGTGGCAGTAAGATATGGGGAACAGCTAATGCTGAAGCATTTGGAAAGCTAGTAGCTGTATGCAGGGACAGGTTCTTAGTGGGAGAGGAAGAATGGGGTGCTAAGATGGCTCCAGGGATCTCTCCTTTGTGCCTGCTCTAGCAGCTCCTGCTGCAGGGTGTGTGCATGCACAGTCTGCTCGTGCTGACATCCAGCCCTCCCTTCCCATGGCAGCTGCAGGCAGCCCCAGCCCTGAGCTCATCCACCAGGGCTCTTCTACACACAGCCCTGCACAGGGGTTATTCTGAAATAGCTGCACTTAAGTGTGCAGAGCTCTGTGTGTGGGTGCTACCTTTGTATCTTGCAATAAGCATAAACTGTTCCAGCCCGACTTAAACAAGAAGGATACTCTGGAGCAAGAAGTTCTGCGCTCTGGGACTTGGGACTAGCCAGTGCCTTTGGAATGCCTGTCACACTGCCATTTCCATCAACCATCACATCTAAACAAGCCCTCAGAAGATAATTACAAACTTTCATTCGGATGCAAGCACTTAAGATACAGATAAGCAAAGTTAGCTTAAACTTGTTCTATTTTCTTAACAGGCAAGTGCATTTGGATCCATGTTTAGAACAAATGTTACTCAATACAAGTTAGGTCTCTACACAGATCAGTAGTTAATGGGCAAACGGAAGCATCCCACAGTGATTAAGGATGTTAGCTTATCCTGCTGTGCTGAGAGCCAGGAATATTGACCTCTGCACTGTTTTAGAAGAGCTTCTCCCTACTTAAACCTTTGGCATGTGAGGTAAGGAGTTATATGTCAACAGTAGGATTGGAGCAGCAGGTGGAATTAAGGTCTCCCAAATATCTCCAAATCTAGCTAGTGTCAGTGCTCTTCATTTTATTGGTGTCTTCAGAGGTCTCACCATCAAGTCTTGTCTCGTGGCTCCTATTAATTCACCACGGTGGCAGCAGTGGGAGCCTTCATGCAGATACAGCTCCAAGGGCCCGGTATCTCCTCAAGACCTCTGCTTTCCCAGGGCTTGCCTGTGAGCTGCAGTGCTTGAAATGCTGAGGATTGCCAGCTTCTTATCCAGCAAGTCCTCACCATGGTGGAAAACAAGCATGAGGCAGATGGGACCAAGACTTCCATTGGAGACATCAGAAACTAGAACAGTCCAGCAAAAGTATTGACATGTGGATTTCCTCATCTTTTGTATCCACAATCCAAACAACCTGATAAAGAAATGCCAGCTTTTCTCTGCTTGCAGTGACTCTAAACAATGATAATGTAAACTGTATTTTATTTTTGAATTACAGAAGTGATCACTTGTTCAGTTCTTTAAAAATTTTGACATTAAAACTAAACATCATGTAATACATCATCTGTTAGCATGTGAAAAATAATGTACTCCATTAGTCCCAGGACTAACCTGGGAATTTTGGAGAAATACTAGAATGGTTCTGAAAATCCAGGTTATTCAAGCAGTCATTCAGTCTCTTTTACATTTTTATTTTGTGTCAGAAACTAGAAAAAGTGAAGCAATTAGAAGATGTATAGTTGTTCTTACTAGATAGGATAACAAACTAAGTAACAACAGGCCTATGAAGA